TTCATCACATCACTTCTGCTTTTCCTAATCTACGCAAACTTCAGCTCGGGGGCAACCACATTAAAACTATCGAAGAACTCAAACCACTGGTATGCATAAACCCGCTGCTGCTGCTGCTGCTGCTGCTGGAGCACATTAGCGACACGAGCAGCAGCAGCTGCTGCTCGTGTTGCAGCAGCAGCAGCTGCTGCTGCTCGTGCAGCTAATACACCTGCTTCTGATGATATACCTGTTGCTTCTAAAGCTGCTACACCTGTTGCTGCTGTTGATACACCTACAGTTGCTGCTGCTGCTGTTGCTGCTGCTGCTGCTACTCCTACTGTTGCTAGTCCTGCTGCTGCTGCTACTCCTGCTGTTGCTATTCCTGCTGTTGATGCTGCTACTCTTATTGTTCCTAATCCTGCTGCTGCTGCTACTCTTACTGCTACTATTGCTGCTGCTACTGTTGCTATTCCTGCTGTTGCTGCTGCTGCTGCTGCTGCTGGTGCTGCAGGGTGAGCTGACGCAGCTGGAGCAGCTGGGCCTGGATTTGAATCCCGTTGCTTCGTTGGGTGAGTACCGGGAGAAGGTGTTCGCGTTGGTGCCGTCTTTGGTTGTTCTCGACTCAAGAGATAGACAAGGAGAAGAAAGAGATGCTGCTGACACTGACTCCGATGAAGAAGAAGACGGTACACACACACAACAATATATATGCATATTTACTTAGGGTGTATATGCAGCTAAACATATGTAGTATTTGGGGTGTATATGCAGCTAAATATCTATACTATTTGGGGTGTATATGCACCTAAATATATATATTATTTGGGGTGTATATGCATCTAAATATATATATTATTTGGGGTGTATATGCACCTAAATATATATATTATTTGGGGTGTATGTACAGAGGAAGAGGTGGACACGACTCTGCGTGATTTCTATGAAGCTGAAATGCCCGATCAAGACGCAGAAGACGCCGAGGATTTCGAGCCCAACTGTGAGGCTGAGGAAGATGAAGAAATAGATGAAGAAGATGAAGGTAAACAAAAAATATATAATTTAATTTATATTCAATATAATTTAATTTATATAAATTTATATAAATATATATAAATATATACAGATATATGTA